TCCCTGTGTCCACCTTTGTTAGTCCCGCCCTGTTTATTGTTCCTGCGCCTCTGTCTTCCCCCGCCCCTCGTAACCCGGACTTGTACTCTCCCTCTTAATAATTCCCTTAATTGTAATTTCGTGTCGCTGTTCCCTGTACTGTTCTTTGATTGTACTATTCTTATTTTGAAAGTGATATTCAAAGAATCCTGTACTGTGATACTGTCATTCACGATGTGTGTAAATCCGATTGAGGTATAAACATATACCACCCACGAGGGTTTACCTTTACTTGAAACAATTAGAATTACAAACGTGACAGACCGTTTGTTGTGTGTGTGTGGTGTGTGTGTTGTGTGGTGTGGTGTGGTGTAATAGTACAGTGGGACCCACGTATGTATAAGGCAACATAACCGAAACTACGTTATAAAAGGAAACCACGTGCTCTCGTGTCAATCCTTTTTGTACTCTGTCACAGGTATACCCTTCGGGAATCTGTCGCCTTTACGAAACCACTGGGACGACTTCACCTCCGGTCAACGGTCTTGAGTTCCTGACCGAACGAGTACTGAACTGTACATCCTGAATGAGGGTGAGACGATAAATACGGACTAGTAATACGGGTAAACACCTACCTGACATCTCCGAATCTTGATAAAAGGGTAAACAAAACTAATTTCAATTCTACCGATGTGTTGTAGACAATTTGTCATGAAAATCAGCCGGAGTGAAAAGTCCTTCGTCGTGATTTTTATTGTATAAGTTTACAGAAAGTACAGTAGGAAAATGAAACTGAAAGGATGAGTAACTTCAGTAGTCACAAGTGGTTGGTTACTCCTAAAGACCTTCCCAAAAGGCGCAAAGAACGATGGTTGCGGAATTTTTGGTCTCTTTCCAATCTGTTTTGACAATGTCTACATACTTTGGAAAGCCATAAATGTCCGTTGGACCGGATTGTGTCCGAATTCCAGGGTACTTAACCGGTAAATATGACTAGTCATAACGGTAACAACTCCAGATGATCTTACTAAATTAACAATGATGTTAAAAGGTTTTAGTGAACCAAAGAGTATGTGTAGAGTACATATCATAACACATAAGAATGTCAGATAAGTGAGAGACAAGCCTTGCCGAACAATCTCGGAGGACAAGGGGGCGGTGGGGAGAAGGGGACACTCGGGTCGAACACCAGACTAACCAGCCCGCAACGTTCCTTCGGCTGTCCAAAGGGCCCAGCCGAATATGTCGCGTCTGGTCCGTTTTGAGTAGGACCCTGTGGTGTTTGTGAGTTCGGCCTACTCTTATGTTATCACACCGAACATAACTCAATATTGCGTTCACACTCTTTACCAGAGCCTCTCATAAGAGGAGCCTAGGAATTGAGCAGATAGGGTCGCAGTCCTCGAGATGGGTACTATTCGTTTTCAGTACACTAAAGTAAAGTAACTTATAAAGCGACACTTCTAAACACAACAGTAAAAGTGACTATATCAGTCGTACATTGTTGTCACTTACACGAAAGACCAGGTATAGAGTCGTACTTATTGTAACATAAAGATAGGTTAGGAGTGGTTACTTAGATGAAACAAGTTGATATAACTACTAGTTGTAACTTTCTTACACACACAGTTGTAAACTAGTATGACCACTATAACTACAACCACTCACACGCAGCATATGTAAAATCTGCTTACAATAATAGTCCATAACGTTTTACAAGTAACCTTAGGTAACTTATAAAGTGCGACCTTCTAACGTTAGTGTAACATTTATTATGATTATTAATTGGTTATAGTTTTTATTCCGATAAATAAATAAATAAGGCTAGGTTCTATAGTCGTGAAAAAGGTGCTTCGAATATCAGATTATATATTGTGTTAGCTCCCTCCTGTTCATTGTCAGTTCGTTGTCCCTCTATGACCTACGTTCCTGCTTACCTCACGGACTTCTCACGGATCTATGTTATTGATCACTGTTCTAGTTTTCCTCGAAAGAGTGTTTTTGTTTTCCTTGTTTTGGTTACTGTGCAAATCCCAGTAAAGTCTTCATTTTGAAACACTATCCAAGTCTGAGTTTGAGTCGTGCAATTGAGTTCATGCCTCAGAGTTCACTCCTTGACATTCATGGTCATTTGAAAACAAATGCTGTTTTCGGACACACACAAACACACCGAACACACACACACAGAGCAGAGCACAAACACACACACACATATCATGCGCCTTAGCGACCGGACATGTCCTTCATAAAACGAGTAATAGGGGCGATGCGATACAATTCACCCCTGTTGCGATACAGTTCGATACGATGCAATTCAACACGATGCAAAATAATGATACTTCATCATCATAAATTAACAAAAAAGTGCTTCACATATTTGGTTCTCTCTACTAGTACTGCACATCCCATCATGCTGTTTCTTTTTTACCCTTTCTACCTTAAAAAACCCTCCAGAGTACAGTACAATTGTATAACACCTCACAGTTAAACAATTTAAGGATGCATTGCCTATGATTAACAATATGCAAATAACAACTACCATAGTGCAATGCCCATACAACTGCCAGCCTGATGTGCTTAACAGTTAACACTCATTCATAGGCTAACTCACCAGTGAGCAGAAAGCAGTGGTGTGGTTTCTATATTAACAATAAAGAGTACAAATAACCTTTCACAAACAGGTTTAACTGCTTACAATTGTAAGGAAGACATTTAAACTATTATTGGCAGTCACAGGCTGTTGTAAACTAAACACTACTCTCTCTGACATAACACCTCACTGAGTGATATGAGTCTCATATGTCTAACTTTCAGGTTTTACTTTTCAGCCGCAGACCCCATGTCGCCTCTTTATGTGCGTCGCCACGGCCACCCCCAGCTGAATCCTGGCCACCCTATTGGCCACCCCAAACACCCTCATCACGGGGGCCCAAACTATTTTAGAACATTAAGAAAAAAATGTATAAGTAACCTTTCATCATTCATCAATAATTAACATTAATAGGACGTCATATCGATAATGTACTCACTAAACTTATAATTCATTTAACTTAGTTTAATTCTCCAAAAGTTAAAATATCCAAATGGTAAATGGTAAATGGACTGTACTTATATAGCGCTTTATCCAGTCTTTAAGACCCCTCAAAGCGCTTTACATACTACATGTCATTCACCCATTCACACCCATTCATACAGAGCAGTGGACCTTACTCTAGGACCTAACATTCATACACATTCACACACCGTTGGCCACGCCATTGGGAGCAACTCAGCCTCTGTACACCCCCTTCTATTTACATGTAATGGTTTGGTCCTGCCTCCAAACGCGGTGCAGCACCGCCGGCACTTTCTAGCAGAGACTGAGAGCATGTTAGGAGTAGTGATGGGAATTCCGGCTCTTCTTGGTGAGCCGGATCATTTGGCTCGGCTCACCGGCTCTTTCGGCTCCAAAACGGCTCTTCAGTTTACCACATATTATACCTTTTAATGAAATCAAATGTAGCCCTGTTTTGACTAATGAGTAATGAATGATGTATTTGTGTACACATATATCATATCAATGCATCCTTTGTACTGAAGTATTCAAAAGTAAATATTACATGTTTAATATAAATGGTTTGCTGTGGCCAAATGTTTTCATTGCATTTACAGACCCTTGTAACTCTCTGATACCACCAATTAATGCACTGACTTGCTTGTGATCACACGCTACACAAAACAGATAGCAACACCTATAAAAACTATTTAAAAAAAAGGGGCTACTATATCGACATTTTAAAATTATATTTAAAGAAAAGGCCCTGACAAAACAGCAGGGCTCTATTTCAGTAACTATTAACTATAGAAAAAAAGACAGCAACAGCTGACATGAAATCCTTTGGCTGAGCCTAAGGATAAACATTACATAAAAAATGACATAGTGCAAAATAAATTAACAACAAAAAAAAAAAAAAAACGGTAACAACGGACTTTTTTTCTTAGCGGATGCATGTCAATTTAAATAAATACATACAACTATTTTTTAAATCTATAAAATCATTTTCTAAAGCCATAAAAGCATTTCAATAATATTGGGAGTCATGTCATTACTTTGTTGAGAATGTGGCCGTGTAATAAGCGGGATAATGTGCACATTGCATAATGTGCTTTCATGCCGATCTAGATCCCTCCGCAATAAAAAAAAAAAAAAACGGCTCGTTCGCGACCGACACATAACTAGTGAGAAAACTAAACGAGAAGCATGGCTGCAAGTGGGAGTGCAACTGCCGCTGCGCCTCGGCTTGNGAGTCATGTCATTACTTTGTTGAGAATGTGGCCGTGTAATAAGCGGGATAATGTGCACATTGCATAATGTGCTTTCATGCCGATCTAGATCCCTCCGCAAAACAAAAAACGGTTCGTTCGCGGGCGCGAGCCGGCTCCCGTCGTTCACTTAAAAGAGCCGGCTCTTGGAGCCGGCTCGTTCGCGACCGACACATCACTAATTGCTATGTCCTTGCAAAGTCAGGTTTTAAGGGATTGACTATGAACATTATTATACACAATACCTTGACTTCAGTTTAGAAATGGGTATTTTTGTCTTCATTTAAGTCAATATTATATTATAATACCTCAAATAATGATTAATGTTTGAGTCAGTGGTGCCTTGAATAAAAACACAAGGTTTAACTTTTGTTTTCTAATCACCATCTTGCTCTTCTTTAGCACACACACAAAGATATTAACCATTTTAAAGATTGACATGTTCAAATCCAACAGTTTGAAATGTAAAGGTACCTTTGGATTTGACCCTGGAGTTGTAACACCTTGCCAAACACTTCTACTCGCATAGAGCCTAATAGAGTTTGTAGCTCTGTATAAAAAGAAGCAGCCCTAGGCAGCTCCATTGTGATATTGCCAGATGCAAAAGAAAGCATGTTAACAACTTAATTACTTTAATCAGTGTGCCCACAGCGCAGCTCCCTTAAATTCCCTCTGACTCATACTTTAAAAGAACACAAGGAGACGGCCAAGTTTATCGAGTAGTTTAAGAAACTAAGTTGTATAATCTAAAAAAAGACTCTGTTTTTTTCTTCTCTTTTTGTGCTTCAGGACTCTGGGAGGTCCACGTGTACTCATTCCTCTTCTCTCTCATCACCTTCCTGTTCATGTTGTTCATCCTGTGACCCTGTAGTCCTGTGCTCTGACCCCGCCTGCAGCTCCAGCAGGGCCCTGTCCTCAAGGACCCCCAGCTCCAACCCTCACCCTGCAGTGTCTCTTTCATTTGGTAGGATACATATTACAATTACTTCATAACATTGTGTGAATGGTATGAGTGTGAAAACATTATTTAACATTAAATATGAGGAAGACAAGGACACTTGTATCACCTTTTATTTAAAGGTCCCCTATTATACTGTTTTTCATCAATATATAATAGGTCTCAGATATACACAAAACATGTCGCTGAAGTGTTTGGCTCCAAATACCAAACAGATCATTGTAGCATCCCATAAAGCCCTCTGTTTCAGCCTCTTTACACAGAGGGGACACATGTTTATGTATAAAAGACATGAACAAGTGGATTTTGCATAATAGGTGACCTTTAAAAAAGAAAAGCTAGAACGTGGTACATTTGATTTATCTACTGTTTCCTGAGAGGTGCAGTTCACAAGAGTATTGTATTCGCTTGAATTTGACATGGTAAACCAACAGGTGCACCACATACCTGCCATCGTGTGTCATTTTCCAGTTGACGCCTGCATGTCAGACGGGCCACACAGAGGCAGTGATAGCTGGGCACATGGACTAAAGCAGTGGTGTATCATGATGTCTTACCTTGCTTCACGATGCTGCCAGTGTGTGGGCTTGAATAGAGAACAATGGATACGGGTGCTTTGACTGCGTCATACACTGCCTTTGTGTTTGCCTTTTATTGCATGCTTCCATTAAGAGATGTGCTGAGTAACCGTGTTTTAACCGCATACTTACAGTATAATTGTCTCATCTTCCTTCAGGTACTCCTCAGTCCAATCAATCAAACAGGGCCCTGTCCAGAGAAGAATGGTCCCTAAGGCCTTTGATTATAAATGTGGAACCATGCAGTCCATCACACTACAACAGATCCAGCTCCACGCCACTGCACAACAGTAAGATCCTGCCCTTTACCAGTATTGGTCACATATCCTGTACTGTTCCATGGTGCTCTCCTGTCTGATGACTGCTTTGTCTACTTTTTTTGCTCTGCATGTACTTTACTCTTACACGTTTGCTGTGCCATGTAGAAACTCACAGAATGCATGTGAGCAGGACTGTAACAAGCTGTGTTGAGGAGTAATGGAATTGACTGGAAGGCAGAGGTGCTATTTAACAGACTCCACCTGCATTCTTGTTGTTGTAGAAACTTGCTGGCTTTGATCCACTTCTCTTTGCAGAGCTGGCAGCAAAGAAGTCTGTCTTGAAGTCAGTAGTAATTTAATGTGAATTACAAGTCTTCACTACCTACTCCAGCTTCACAGGCGAAACCTTTTGAACGTGTTCTTTTTAAGAATAACTACAGCTACATCACTGGTGCTAGCGCTTTGGTCCCAATTGGATAAGGTGTTGCACGAAAATATGTTATCAGAGCTGTGGTGATTAGACGACTAATTGACGTGTCGTTTCGTTTAACAGACACAAAATCACCAATATTCTGATAATGGATTAATTGTTTATTTTTTCAGGAAGGCCAAATTTACCCTTCTGCTCTGTTTCACTAAGCTGACTAACTTCGGGTAAAAAAGTGACATCCTTTTGAATAAGTAAGATTGATAATGTTTATACAAATTCCTGAATAAACCTAAATTAATTGCCAGATTAATTGATCACTACAACCAATATTTAAATTATTTTTTATCCAACCTTGTTTCTAAACAACACTTAACCAATATTTATAAATTATAAAAAAAAGTGGAATTTGTCTTCTTTGTCTCCCTCATGAGTTATTCTGCGCATGTCAGATATCACGCTGGCTCTGTGTGAGGCTTCCAACGGAGCAGTTATCATTTGGCATTTCAGCAGTGTCGATACATTGTCTATATATATTAGTCTGATGCTAATTAACAATTATTTACTTCTGCAAATGCCTCTGGCAGCTCTGGTTTCAGGGGTGTAAGTGTTTCCATCACCATGGTTGTTTAAAGCATGTTCCCTGATCGTCAAAACGTTTTGACGGACTTCTTCCTTTTATGTACTAAATTAATCGGTGGATTTAAAAGAAAGGCAATAAGTGCTGTAGTAGAAGTAGGTAGAGAGTACAGTAGGAAACACACTGGAGGCCAATTGGAAATGGATGAAGATGTCACTTACCCGCCTCTCTATTGATTTCTTGTCGGCTTGAATTATCTTATTCTCCTTTCCTCTCCGTTCGCTCGTTCAAGCTAACGTCACCTTTGATGATAGCCTTCTAAATCATCAAACTCCTTGTGATACCTGATTGTAGCTAAAGGAGAATCAGGTCACGTAAACCAGTGGTTCTCAAACTTTTTTCAATAATGTACCCCCTTTGAAAGAAAAATTCAGCCAAGTACCCCCTGATCAGCGCAGGAAAAAAAGCCTATAAAGAGGTACAGTACAGCGCTGCACCATCAGTGTCTGATTTATTAAAACAACAACCTTGTAACTGAGAAACACTTAAATGCTACATTTCAAATGTTTACAATCCATCACTAAATTCATGGAAAACCAATTTTAACATCATGCAATAACACTGAGACGACATTAGTTGCATTGAACTGATCTTTTTAATAATTTGTACTTACAATGTAGTGAGAAACATGTGCTTGAGCTTCACTGAGGATCTTTGTCATTCTGACGGGGTCACCAGCTAAAATAATGGGACTAAAGGTTAAGGATAAGCTTTTGTAGACTTAAACCAAGGTGGAAAATCCCTCAGGAACTGAAGGGAAAATAGGAATGAAAGGACATTCCTGTGCTGTGTTTACTCAGTTTGTGTGTGTGTTTGTCTGTGTGTTTCATTGTAGGTCACAAACACAAGCAGCGTGCAAAGCATCATAAAAGCCAAGTTATGGGTCTGTCACCTATCGGGATGGCAGGCTCTGCTCAGAGTCAACACCGTAGAGCCAACCAGAGGAAAAGGAAGAGAAAAAAACACATCCACAGGCTATTAGAAGGTGTGTATATGTATATGTTCACAGTTCACCTACTGTATTCCAGGATCATAGAAAGTAACTTAAAGGTTAAAGGTTTTGTGTATAATGTAGTGTCTTTTGCAGCTAAACACTAGTCGTGTGTGTGTGTGTGTGTGTGTGTGTGTGTGTGTGTGTGTGTGTGTGTGTGTGTGTGTGTGTGTGTGTGTGTGTGTGTGATATACCCAGATGAGAAAGATGACCTGTACCAGCTCTATGACCTAGACAGTTCAGATGAAGTGCTGGAGGACAGCTACACACAGGCGCCACACAAGCAGGCCTCACGGGTAATACACACATTTTAAAACATGTATACTTCCCAGAACACTCATTCATGTATACAGTAACCTTTACCGGATACCAAACCTGAATCAACACTGACCCTTAAATCGGGCCAAGAAAATAATTTCATTTCATGAATTCAAAATATAACATTTGATGTTAATATGAAGAAGCTATAGTCAACAAAAAGCCTGTATCACAGCGACAATGGTGATGTAGGCTGACATTAAATGTGTGAGAAATTTAGAATCGTTGGTGTGAACTGTCACTCCATGTTTCGTTTTAGGGCTGTGTTCGCAGACGACAGGGAGAGAGTGTGTACAACATCAACAACATTGTCATCCCCATGTCCCTGGCTAAAGTGGAGAAGCTGCAGTACAAAGACATCCTGACACCAAGGTAGGAAATAAAAGCTGACTGGGTAGCTATGTCCTAATGCTCTTCGTTACAAATGTTGTAGAAAACTGTTTTTCTTATAGGTCACTTTAACCATGCTTTGTGAAATACTCAGTTTCCCCTGTGCTGCTACAATAAAGAGAAATTTGATTCTGCCCATTAAACTTGTTAATCGAAATCGTATAAGGTCTGTAGTGAAATACCTTTATTTCCAAACAAGCAGCTTCTTAACATAAATGCATAATAATATGGCTGTTATAAAACATACTTTGAATTAGAAAAATGCTATGCCCACTGTCCACCATCGCTGTCTGTCACAAAAAACACACCAAAAGTGTGTCTTTCTTTGCAGCTGGCGGGTGGTTGACCCCTTTTCTCTGAACTGTGAAGCAGAGAAAGAGGAGGACAAAGAGGAGGGGCAGGTAATGTCTCATCTCTTAGATAACTTTTTTTTTTTTGGGCTATTTTTGCAGAAAATATCACCTTTATCTCTCTGTATGTGTTCTTTTCAGGAGGAGGATAACAATAACAACGTGGTTGCCCGGAGACACATGGAATTAGAGCAGAGAGAGAAGCTGCGCTGGCCATCATGGGCGAAAATAAAATGCTGCAGACGTCCTGAAAGGTGAAAACAAAAAATACACACACAGGCTAAATAATCCAGTGTTCATTTAAATACTATTTCATCAGGTGATATGAAAATGCAAAGGGAACTATGTGAATCAGGTGGATTGTGAGAAATATCAGCCTTTTCAAACATCTGAAATGTCAGTGTTTATCATGCTTTATCAGAAAATGAATTGGATCAAATCCTCGACTCACTGTCTGTGCTGACAGAAGCAACCATTGCATGCTTGGCTTGCTCATCTCTGTGCATGTAAATACAGCTTGTGTGAAAGGGGAATGTTGAGTAATTTCCTCGTGAAATTTCATGGGGTATGCTTGTTTTTTTCTCCGGCTTTGGCAGCAGGTTGTCAGGGGGCGGGATGTGCACATCAGGAGAGGAGAGCTCTGCTGAATTGAGTTGTGCTCAGCTGCTGGATACTGATGAACAGCAAAGCCCTGAGGAGTGGCTGGTAAGATCAAAAGCACCACAGCTGAAATCCCAAGTATGCTGATTCAGGAAGGAGGAGGGTCATACATAGCGATTTTCAATTGGCTGTTTCATTTTGATGCCATATCTCTAAAATAGCGGCCAGATCATAATAAACGTTATTTATATATCACCCTCTAAAACACTAATTTCAAAGTACTATGAAAATAACAAAAATACAGGTCGGATACACAATAGATATTTTCTGTAACACTAGAGGAAAAGTATAAAGTGAAAAAAACATTAACACTCATCAATACTCTTCCCCTAGTTATATTGTGTGGGCACTGGGCAGCCTAGATATATCCTTGAGAGCCTACACAGATACTTGTTTCCACTTCGCTGTGGTTGATTATATTCTGATTGCAGTGCTTTGTACCACTTCGCTTTGATTGGAGAAGAAATAAGTTGCTGCTAAACCAGACGGTCCAAATCAATGTCTCCACACCACAAATATCCCCACTTCACTCTGTTGCCCTTCTATTGCTACCCAGCACCCATACAAACCCTGATTAAAGCACAGCGTTTGATTAGCGTTTAATAAGGAATCTGATTTATGTGACGCTATGATACACCCTTTAAAGTGTATGGATGGAGGCTGTGGCTCAGTGGATAGTGTGCTGGTCTTCAAATCAGGGGATAGCAAGTTTGAGTCCCACTGCAGTCAGCATGTCGTTGTGTCCCTGGGCAAGACACTTCACCCCAAATTGCTCCTGTGGGGATTGCCCCCCCAATTAGTCGCTTTGGATAAAAGCGTCTAACAAATGACATGTAATGTAAAGTCTAAATTCAATGGAGGTACTGATATAGGAAGTCTTCTTGAGTTTTATTTAACATCTTATGTAGCACATTATTTACGTTTCTTTCCTCTTCAAAACTATCTAATATATATTTGTTATATTTTCACTCTTGTGTGCATAGAAAGTGATACATATAGCACATACTAGCACCAAAATGTTCATAGTTTATTCATTGTTAATTTATATTTACAGAATTGTGGCTCAATTCCATTATGCACTCTTTCCCCTGGCAGCCTCAGACACCCTGGGAGCCACGAGAGTTTCCTCTAGAAAAAGACGAGGAAGACGCCCTACTCTCCGATAACCTAGAAGAAGTGGCGGCAACAGGAGGTCAGAGTGTAACTCTACCCCCACAGCAGCAAAGAACTCCAACTCCCATCTCTCCCCTGCTTCCTGCTCTGGTATTACACTGTCATCTGGTGGACAAAGCAAGAGCAGCTGAGAGAGCAGTGCCTTACTTTAACATGTAAGTACAGACATATAGGTGATTAGCTGTTGGGTAGTGGTATAACTTAAACATATTTTATGTTAAATAAGCCAGATGCATTTATAAATTATATCCATAATCATTATATTTATTTATTTAGAAATTCATTTAATTGTCTGTGCATTCATTCATCTACCAAAAAAACATTTCTTCTTTTTTAATGGATTTCTGGTTTCTGATCGATGCAGTCGTCATTACCAAATGCATGGTTCACTCACTGTTCAAAGGAATTTAGGATAATTAAGGAAGGAATGTAATAAAGATTGAAAGGTTCAAACAGTCAGTCTTTGGATCCTATCACACATTGGCAGTCATCATTTATGAAAGGGTGGTTTTGACTATCAATCAGATTTAAATATGTGAAATAAATGTATTAAAAGTTGTTTAATTTCCTCTTCAGATCTCCTCACATCTGGGACCCTGACGTTAAATGATGAGTGGGATAATTGGGATACTTAATACATTCCAGAACAGGGATTTGATTGTGTCTGCTTAATACTTTAAAGTGTTTTTAATTGTATCTTGTGAGTATTGTAGCATGTGCCATAATAGTGTAAATTGACTACTGTAGCTTATGCTATACTTTTAAGTTTCAATGTACAAGAGGTACTGTATGTAGAGAAGAATGTACTAGCACTACCCAAATGTAGTCTCAGGATTGCATACTGTTTGTAGATGCCACTCACTATTTATTTATTCATTCATTCACAGCTGTCTTAAAAAGATAGTATAGGAAGACTTTAGAATATAAATATATATATATATATGTATGTACTTTTTAATTTCATGTTTTTTTCATGTATATATATTTTTTATGAAAGTTATTATTAAACATTTACATCAGTAAACATAGCAGTGAATGTCATACTTTGCCCGCCTATGCCCTGCATTTTCTAGATTTCTCTGATGGCTGATTAGAATACTGCTTGTATAGCACATCTATAACAGTTCATCCTTTTTTGCTATAAGTCATGTGGACAATTAAGAAATTGACACATTAAGTGAAGCATCTTTACCTCCATGGTTTTTATTTTAGTCACGTGTGACATGTCTGCAACTTCAGCCAAGTGTACTTATCTAAGATGTCAATGATAAAAGGTAGTACTGGAAGGACAGACTAATGGGAGGTCATTTCAGTGCTTCGAATAATTCATATTTATGGAGGTCACCACATTTTAAGGCCGGCGTAGTCCCAGTGAAACAGCTCGTACTTTGATCCCACATGCAAAACCTGCTTCATACCTACCAGGGGGCCTAATGGGCAGATGGTGTTCAAGGTCATCACTCTCATCTTCTTGTATGTGTGTCAGTTGCTTTTTACCAGGGATGAGAGTGCCCACAATTAGAAAAGAAATCACATGAAATCATATTAATTGTCTTGGTATGGGTAAATACAATTTGGTTTTAATCTAGGTTTTTAATTACCATTGCTTCACATGTCTGAAGAAGCAAATTCATCTTGGAAAACAGCATACTTACTGATAATGCATGTTACATAAACAGATGGATTCTCTCCTCTTCTTCTGACTATGATACAAAAAACCAAGGAAATGTCCTTTGTTCGTGTTCTTTGCAAGGGTCACTTTGTATCCTCCCAATGAAAAGCGGAGCCAGTAGTCTCACCTCACCTGTAGGAAGTCCACCTTAAAACCTGTTGAACCCCATTGACCCGCCCCCGGGCGGAAAAACGCATCATATGCAGGAAACAGCGTCTGAGGGCTTTTTAATATTTAATAAACTATGAATGTTTTATATTCATCTAACGCTGAACCTCTGAATTAGCGACGAGCGAAAAAATGCTAACGGCGGTTGCACAGAAAACACGGTATAACACCCTTATTACTTATCGTAACTGCAAATCCAACCAATCGATTAGCATCGTGAGAGTACACAGAATCGATAGGTATCTATATCATCACTCCATGATAAGAACTTGCGACTTTATAAACAAAAACAGACATCACAACACGTGGCGCTAGGTACCAAAAACGGCAATAGGTCTTACCTCTGTTGTTGTCTGATCAAAAGTTTTCTTCAATGGCATTAAAACGATAAAAACGCTGCTGAAGGTTAATCCATAGGTTAATCCAATGTGTCTGTGTCACTTAGAAATTATTTCTGATAATCCATAAGCAATAAACCTACTTTTCAGATTTCAGAGTGTGAGACAGCTTTCGCTCTGGGCAAAACTGCATGCGCATAGCCGCCACTTTTTTTTGGTAACGTTGGTGTGTATGTGGAAATCCCCCATCGATTCTATTGGCTCTAATGGTTAAAAAGAGATGTCAATCACCAAAATCGAGCAATGGGTTTCAGAGAAACGGCAAAAACGCCCATTTCCATTTCTAAAAAGGTCAAATGTCACTTGTTTTGCATCAATCTTGATACAGGGTACTTATTATATGTTGTACTTTGGATTCCTAAAGCTTTTAGTCTACCATCCCATCATTCAAAGGTTTTCACTATAAGTAAAAAAGAATCTTTGGACGGACACTATAATTTAAAGTTTTTTACTATGTTCAATCTGAATTTTCTTTAAAATAAAAACATCTATATTGATTCTGACTTTTCTACATCCAACTCACAGGTTTATCATTACTTTGAGAAAAAAGATTATTAATTTTCCCGATTTTAGAAGTGTAGTTATGGTAATTTGTTCTGGAAATTTCATTTTCAAGCCTGAGACCTGAAAAACAGGGATGGGGTTTAATGCTGACAAGTGGAAGGGAAAAAGAGCCTCTGGTGGCCACATGGGGGCTCCTTAGAATCCAGCTTCAGTAACATTAAAACAGAATCCCTCAAGCGCCCTTATTTGTTAAAGGAACATGGAATTAACAGAAATTGATGCTTAACTATTTTATTTCTTCAAATTAAGCTAATACACAATTGTCCATACATCATAGGCACAACTGTAAAGAGCTGAACTTTGGTTCATTGTATTTCTACGTGGTTGTATCTACATCAGTTGCACTCCGGAGGGTGCTCTTACATGTCAGAGAACATCTTAGCACAACATTAGTTTCAGTAGATTGTAGTGATTTTTAGTGACACATTTTTTTTTCTTAATACAACAATACTGTTATGCAACTGCTTGTCTCCTGTTGAATACATTTACTATAGGATACTAGAATTTTTTAATTTGATCTGGCACAATAGAAACAACAACATAGTGATCTTAATCTCAATGTAATTATTATCTAATCAAATCACAATGTCCACAATAGGCTATAGGGACTATTCCTTTGTTAGAAAGTAGTTCCAATAAAAATGGATCAGGGAGAGCTTTCCTGAAAAGATACAGGCCTAGTGCCATTATTGTTTTTCAAACTTTGGTTGATTTAAATGAAATCCCATTAATTTCGAATTTACCAAAAAAATAAACATTATTTGGATACATAGCTATTGCAAGAGGTAGTACTGGATCAGGTAAACACTTTATAAAGGGTTTGTTATGCCCTGTAAAACATGGTAGTTCTATTTTGTCTCTACTGACAGCCAGAGGCGGTGCTTAGCACTGGATATGTCCATCGCCCGCATCTCGAGTACCAAATAACAACAAAGTCACCTATGATCTGTGACCCATGTGACACCGGCTACATATGCCAGTGTCGTCACTACGCGAGAGTACCGTGGCTACATTCTTGTAGCCTACAGCATTTCGGTTGGAACGTTTGATCCAAGGATTTCTTTGCAAACAGCTGGCTGCCTGCAGCTTCGCGACTGATCCAGTCGGAGCCGCGGGCTTACTCGTTCTCCAGGAGCTGTAGCCGGCCGTTTTCGCCCCCTCTCCCAGAAGTTGCCCTTGTTGTGCTCTTTTGTACTTTTTCTGACGTGGCGTTGTGCCAAGCTATCATTAGCATTTTGAGTTTCCAGCTTCAGCAGCATTTTCTTGTCTAGCTAGTCTCAGCCTGACTATGTCCTGCCTGGTCAGCCACTTGACTGACGCTGGGATAAGCACCGGAGTTACCCGTGCTGTTTTTTCTTTAGACGCCAGTTTTCTGGTCTTAGCTTTGTTTATTCGGTGAGTAGCATTACTACTCTTTCCGTTCAGCAGGTTGTGCTAGAGGCTTTCATCCCTCCCAATATTATATATGCGCTAGTGTGCAGCCGTTTGGCTGACACTTTTAAGCACTGGCCACGGTTACTTTCGTAACTACGGTTTTATGCCGTGTAAGCACTGGCCATGGTTACTACTGTAACTATGGTTCTATGCGTGCTGTTCTCTTCTTTGGAAGCTAATTATCTGGTCTTAACATTTGTGTTATTTGACTTGGTCTCGCTTGATTGTTAGCAGCAGCCGCTTGGCTAACACCTTGCATGTACTGTTAAGCTTCATTTCTTAACTCAGCTGGTGAAGGCAGTGCTCTTGCTCCCGGTAACGTATGTTTTTGATTGTTAGCAGCAGCCGCTTGGCTAACATCTTGCGTGCTCTGTTGAGCTCATTGTTTAACTCACCCAGTGAAGGCAGTGTTCTCGACCCGCTCCTGGTAGACGTGCTGCTTCATTCTAGCAGTAGCCATCTGGCTAAACTGTCCTGTTAAACTTCTTTATTTAATCCAGCTAGGTGAAGGCAGTGCTCTCGCTCCCTCTGCTGGTAACGTGGGTGTAGTTACATCCCTCTTTGTGTTCGGTGGGTAGGAGCATTGCTCTACTCTTTCCGTTCAGCAGGTAGCTGGTGAAGGCTGTGTTCTCGCACCCACTCCCGGCTACACTGCATCTGGCTACCTATAGACCGGCTCATTCATGTAGCGCCTGAATGGCGTCTCTTGAGCCCGAGGACAACCATGACCGCTGTCCCTCTTGCCTTGCGAGCATTCGAGGGAGGGTCTAACGCAAAGCGCCTGCATGAACTTAGCTTCATGCCTTGGGCTCAGAGGTGGAGCGCCTGGCAGCAGCCAATGGACACCTCTCCTCGTCACAACTTCCTCCAGCTCAGTCTGGCCGTTCCCGGCGACTTGATGGAGTGATGGCCTCACCGTTCCCGTCCAATACGGACTTCTTCCCGCGATCGGACTCGGGCTCAGCCGGACGCCTTGGACTCGGACGTTCGGTAACGGTCCGGCGTGCCTGATCACGCGGCGGTACTCCGTAGGAGGTACGGGAGCGTCTCTCGAGACTCGGTCGTCTCATCACCCCTTCGGAGGAGTCCCACTCGCCCCGGGGCAGGAGGTGGGGAAAGTATCTTTCTCCAATTCGGCTTCGGTGATTGTTGTAACCGTAGGAGTGTCGTACTCCACGCCGTGTGCTTCCTCCCGGTCCGCCGTTCGATGCATCGGGGGTGTGGCGGGGACCGACTTCCCCTGGTTTCCCACTCGTTGAATCCGATTCTCGATTTGGCTAGGTGGAATCTCCCTGTCGGACAAAGAATCAGGAGATGGACCCCCCA